TATAAAAATATACTTGTTTGTATGTGTATTTATTTTATGTGCTTTTACTACACTTAGAACACAACACTCATCAATACACACACACACACACACACACACACACACACACACACAATTGAAGAGGATCGACATAGATATATCAAAAACTGTGATATATTTGCACATATAAATAACTCAAAATACAGTGGGAAAGCTGTCTAAGGATGTATTTGGCAGTATCCTGTAAAACCTCATTGTACTGGGAGTTAATACAATATTCTCAGTGTCTTCAGTCATCTGAAATTTGAGTTTAAAGTTTTTGCACAATCACAGTCAACACAAAATGCAGCAGGAAATCGCCATTAGTCAAATGTGTTCGTCTAATCCCACTGCAAAATGGAGCTTTTTCATTTTTATCCTGCCACGGGTTAGTTTGTGATTTCATATGTCAGATACATCAAGTCTGCCAAGGAGAGAAGATGGGCAAGAACAAATTAAAAATAGAGACTCCGTCGCCTCGGGGGAAGTAGAGAGGGCAGGTCTTTGTGGAGAACAGTAATAATGATCTCATTTAAGAGAGTTTCTGGGTTTGATTCTTTGCTGCCCTTCCTTATAGTTAATTACTCCCTGGCAAATTGAGGGCCTAACCAGCAAGTCCAAATGAATACGTATTCACCCTTCTCTGCTGAAACTGCGTAGGGAGAGCGCAAGGAGGGAGACATCAGCCCGTGTCCTCTGTCACCTTCATGCCAGGAGTGAGAGCAGACAACAAAAACCTGTCATTTCTTTCTCTCACTCCTTCAGTCCTTGTCTCGTCTGGTTTCTCACTCTGTCCCACCTTCTTCTCTTGAATCCTCTCCCTCCATTGGTGTGACCACTGGGATAAATACAGCAACAGCCCCTCTCTTCCCAGAGGCTCATGCTTGAGAGGATATTGGTGTGTGCCACACTCCGCTGGTCGATCTGTCTTCCAGTAATTATTTCTAATGGCTGTTGTTGTTTTTCCTGCAGAAACCGTAATGCAGCCCCTTTTGTATCATTGACTGAAGCCTGTTGTTTCTGTAAGAAAAACAATAGGCCCACAGATGAGGACTGCATATTACGGTTCTACTAGCACAGCAGGCTTTTGCTATTGGTACCAATCCTATCCATTCCTGGCACCTTTCCCCCTTTACTCCTGGTAATTAATCTTTTCATGAATGCTGTCACGTTTAGAGTAATTTCATTAAGTTTCTGTTTCCTACATTTACGTAACTCGCTGCATCTCTCCCCTGCCCCATCAGCTGGAGGGATGTAGGGGTACCCGATGCCGGGCGGTGGGTTCGCTCTCCGCTTCTCTGTGGAACATATTTTCCCATAAATGAAGTCACATACAGATGACAGACAAGCAGCAGCTTACTTCAGACAGCCTGAAAGGGGCAAAATTGAGCCATCAAAAATTAGGAAAAGTCCCTGTGAATGGAGTCCATGGAATGTGATCCCTGTTTCCCATATATATTTACGTACCAAGGGCTTGATAGGAAAGGGCTTACATGCTTCATGTAGTATAAAACATTTTTTCACATAAAACATCGTAGATTTCTTAAACTAAGGACATTGGTTTGGGACGATCAGATCCTCCTGCCATACGCTGATGCTCTTCTTTCCTCCTCCTCGACAAACCTCCAACCCACCTCCCACAAAATGTGCCAGCTTCAAACCGTTTCTATAAAGCAGGAGGCTTTTTGGCTAGGGAAAGGAGAAAAGAGGTTTAAAGCCACTTTTGCTGATATCGTTCCCCAGTTATTCCCTATTTTGAAAGGGAGTTGGGCCCAATGGTTACAGACAGAGTGAGGCAGCATATTCGCAGGGTGCAGCAGCGGGGTGAGAGACAAAAGCTTGTATTCCCAGCCCTGCCTCAAGTGACCTTGTGCAACCTCTTAATTACTGCAATTACTTGCCTCCTGAGATGACATTATTAGGCCGTGCTCGGTAATAAGGGCTGTGAAGTTCACGGAATTATTCGCGCCGGTTGGTGAAAGAGCAGGGAGTAAAACACCCGTCCATCTTGTGGCTTCCAAACCATCTCGGGGTCAAGAGGGGATGGCCATTGGCTCTTCTTGGAAATTCAGAGTTGGTTGGTTTATATTTGGGACTGGGATTTTTGCAGCATGGTACCAGCACTGCAGGACGGAGGATGTGCCAAAGAGCAATGCTGCGATGTAGATGCACCTAAATATGTTTTACTGGAGACAGAAAACAGTAACTGTCTCTCTCCAGTACTGTCCCTCTGCCAAATTCCAGGTTTCTCCCTCAAATCAAACATGAGCACTCCTAAATGGTAAAATACTAATTATAAAATATGAAAGGGTTAAAACCGACAGCTGCTGGAGCAATTTTTATCATTAGCAACATGAATTCAAAACTCCAAGACGCTGGGGCACTTTACTGTCCTTGGAAAAAAAAGAAAAAAAAACACCACAGAAGACCAAACAACTGAAACCAGAAAGAATCACAGAATTCATCCTGAGGCAGACAATAAACATCAAGGATCTGAAGTGAAGTATTTAGTTACTGAGAAGCAAGAGCAACTGAAAACAGGAAACTAAATGGGAAAAAAATCAAACAATCTTAACTGTAATCATTAGTACCTACAACGACAGATGTAACTGCATTTGCCTGTAGCTGAGGGTGCTGGGATGGAGCAACAGCCCTCCTGCCTTGATGTTTGCGCCATGTGTGAAAATGCAGCTGTCACTGAACACCTTCTGCTTCTGCCGTGGTCAGTTTTGACCTGGTGGTCCTTCGTTTGGCTGAAACAACCCACAAGGATGCCAACACTCCCTTGCTACCAGCTCTAATCCAAGCCCAGAGTTCCCAGTCCTGAAAGAGGGCTGTGTCCTTCAGCTCAGGCTGATCTGCGATGGGCAGGAGGTCTGTTCTTGCACCCCTGCACAGGGACCCACCGGGAACATGAGAATCCTCCTGGCAGCTCCTCTGCTCTGCACCGAACACTGCTGCATGATTAGCAACCGGTGAGGAATGTCCAGGGAAGGCTTAGAGGGCAGGGGGGTGTCAAAAGAGCAAAGTGGAGGAGAAGGACGTGTTTGGCTTATCTCCACGGGCAGGGATGTCAGTCTGTCCTCTGCAGCAGGTTTGGATATGGAGAGGCCACAGAAAAACTCGTCTCCTTGATTTCAGAGTGGAAGGAGGTACCATGGCAAACAAGGCAAGCGGAAAGGGAAAAGCATGAGACACTCGCTGTGGGCTGCAGGGAGTGGGTTTTGGTGTCTTTCATTCCCTTGTGAATAATTCAGCTGCTCTGTGTGTGCATTTGGTTGAGCTCTTCTCCGCCACTGCAGTCTGAGGAAGAAATCCCGCCCTTCCTCCAACATCTTCCTTGCAATTGCATTATGCTACATTGGTTTTTTTTTCTATTTGGGGCTTTTTTTTCCCTTTTTTTTTTCTTCTTTTAGTCCACTGACACCTCTGTAATAGAGGAGGTAAAATATTTTCATTATCTTCTCCCCAGAATGTGGAAATCTTCAAAGAGGAGGTAGGAGGGAGGTTAGCTCCTCTAGCCTCATTTCCCTACCGCTGCCATTCCTTGGCTGTTCATCACAAAATGAGTCCACACGCCCATTGCATCGTGGCATTGAGCCCATTGTATGTTTTGCCTTCTCTTTTTTTTTTTCCTAAAGTTATTTCACGTTGCAAACCTGGCGATTATTTCATGCTGTTTAAACTATATTTGTAGTCTTTGATCATACATAAGTAGACTGAAGTAAACTGCTGATAGAGTGAAGATATTGTTCTCCGTGTTTCTCCTCTCGCTTTGTTCATTACATTATGCCTATAAGCTTGCATAAAACGTTCATTGTGGCAACGCGCCTTTGTTATTAATTCTTGCGGTGCTACGTCTTTTCATGAAACATAGTTCATTCACAAATGGAGTGATTTGGTAACTTATGCTGGTGTGTATTTTACACATAACATGGACATGTGCAACACACAATTACATGCATCCCGAACACATAGTTACTTGTGTAAACACAGGGACAAAACCATCATGTCCTATTTACGTTCAGTAAAATATCGATAATTGACATTGCAGGGCTCATTTTCCAACAAAAATCTTGTTCACTATGGACATATTTTGCTGCCTTGGGACCTGGCCCAACAGCAGAGACACACAACACCAGGTAGTAATATCCATCCTGGGAATTCAAGGCAAGACACGTACGACAGCCCAGGATATCCCACACGATGCCTGCGTGGTTCCTTGTCATCGGTGTTGTTATTTATGAGGAGGTGGAGGAGTTAAATGGACACCTGCATCATGCAGCAAGGAGACAGGAGGAGGGAACTGGCTCATGGTGCTTGAACCCCAGCCTGGTTTTTGCTGGCTTCGTTTATAAATCACATGCATTAGGACGTATCCGTGTTAGACGTTTCAGCCCCTTTTCAAAGAGAACAGGTACCTAACCTCACCAACTGCCCTCGTTTAGTGGGAGACAGATGTCTCGTTCCCAGGTTTCTCCACAAATCACAGCTAGTCACTCCATCAAGTAATTAAAAAACTGTTTGTATGCAGGACAAGGCTAAGCTTCTCGCCAGCATTGACTCTGTTCCATTCTTGTACATTTACTGTGTGCAGAATATAAAGATGTGATTTGTGTATGATTTCCCCGTTACTCCAATACATCCTCATCCTACTTTTCTTCCTTTATAATCTATATTAGTCTAGTTACCACAAAAGAGAGAAAAACCCAAAAACCTCCTTTCCCCCTCACTCTGCAAACAACAGCAATCTTCCCCCTCCAGCTCAAATCCAGTTGAGCAGGGCAGGTGAAATAGGAGGGCAGATCATATGTGCGATGACACAAAACTACGTCCCCCTGAGTGAGGTGACTGGGGGAGCTATGCCCAAGAAGGAAACCAGGTGATCCCTTCCAACTCATGAAGAAAATAATTGATGGTAACTTCAGAGAGTGCCAGGAGAAGAGCGGCACCATGTGAGCATCAATCTCAACCAAAACTAGGAAGGCTTTTAGAAGTGAGACCTTCAAGAAATGGTAGGGGAGCTCAACGCTCAACCCCCCTGGTCCCATGGTGGCCACCATCCTTACTAGTGACAATATCTGAATGACCTGAATTGTCAGCAAGGATCTCTTCCACTGCTAAAAGGAGGAGAAACCCATGAAGAAGATGCTGCTGCCACGTCGTATCTGGAATGATGACCACTGGACAATACATTGCCCTCACCAGGATATGTTGGGATCCAGAGAGGAGCTCTGCAGGCAGATGAGAAAAGAAAGTGAAGCTATGGGAACACCTGAACTGATAAAGGCACAACAGAGGGAGGCAGGCGAACATGTCCCACCCTGCCTGCAATATGCAGCCACTTACCATGGGAAGTCTGTGGACCTGCACCACAGGGTTGGCCGCAGCACCTCCATCCCATCCAGCCCCGACAGCTCCATTCTTTTGGCTCCATTTACAGGATCTGCACTGCCAATGGCTGGGACTGGGTGCTCCAAAGTTCTTCTCTCCATTGGCTCTCGCCTGTTACAGGTGTTCCCCATAGCTTCTTCTTTGTCACTTGTGGAGGGTTTTTCCAACCCTAAATGTTTTCTTTTTGATGTGTGGGGCAACCGGTACTCAGTGATGCATTCCAGTAACCCAAGTTGTAACCTGCAAGGTGTTTTTTAGAGCCCCAAACACTTCCTTCGAAGGCGTCTTCTCTTTCAGCCTTGGTAAATATAGAGTATCCAATTGCAAAATGCTGATTTGTGCAGCATGGAAAAGGCTTTTTTCCCCCTGACTTTTATTATATACAATTGATTATACACCATTTTTCTCTCCTTCTGAAACCTGCACAATTGGACTCGTGTTGCCAGAAGAACCTGCTGTTACCCAGCCCCAGGGAGAAGGAACAGAGAACAGGAAGAAAGCCACATTTTAAAGCTCTTAAAAGTTTCAAAAAAACATTTTTCTATAAAACATCTTGTAGCTGTATGTACCAGCAGCCTCGCAACTGTCACACAGTATTGGGGCAACCACAAGCAGTCTGTGTGCATTTCTGTGTAACCACTTCCTCGCAGAGGTGATCTTGCTGCTCTTTCCTCTCCCAGGCCACTGTTTTCTCTCAGGTTACCAGTATATTTTTGCACCTCACAACCTGCTAAGCTGAGGAACACAACATTCCTCAGTGGACTAGATATGACTGGGAACCAACCAAAAATCAGGAAAGGAATGAGTCTGCCGGATCTTGCCTTCACGCAGGGTTTGACTCCTGATCTGGAGGCTATGAAAGGACAGAGGTTGTCTAACAGCAGAGACATGGCAGAAGAAAGAAAATCAAGCCAGGGACATGCCCCAGGTAATTTTTAGCCATGGTGGTTGGGTCATGCCTCCTCAGACAGTTCTGGCTGCACGGCACAAGCTCCAGGCTCTCTGCCACCTCACTGCACTTGGTGCAGATGGGCCAGCAAAAAGCAAGGACACAGTAGGACGTGCAGTATTAATCGCCTGGGATGAGCAAGGAAAGAGAATGTGCGATATTTCTTGGGTTGTCAGAAATGCAGCATAGGCTGGATGAGTGCCCTCGCTCAGCCCTCCCCGCTGGCCATGAGCACAGAGGAGCTGGTGGCTGTGCCACAACCAGCAATGGGGACTATCAGGACTTCCTGGCTCTGCACAAGGAACATATAGCACATAGTATATATGCACATCGGCGACCACCTGCAGCCCTGCTCCCAGCTGGGCTGAGTTAGAGTCACCTCACCATAAGGTCCCTGTCTCCATCCTGCTGACACAAAGCCGTCAGGTGACTAATCCTCACTGAGCATCAGGTGAGCCCAGTTGAACTGCGGAGCATTACAGCAGGTGGAAATGAGTTGAGCCTCCAAATGCCGCTGAGAGGAAAGGGAGGATGCTAAAAATATTAAACTCACGTAGAACAGGAGACATCCTTTTCAGTACAGGGTTTCAGAGACTGGATGAACATTTGGGTGGCTATTAGGGATTATTTTTTTACGTATATGAAGAAAGAGCCTAATGCAGAGACCGTGTGTAAGACCCAAACTGTGAGCATTTCTGTGGCCAGAAGCCCCCAAACTCTCCATCTCTGGATGAAACTCACCATCCCTGGATGTGTTTAAGTGTCGCTTGGATGTGGTGTTGGGTGCTATGGTTTAGGGGTGAACTTGTAGCATAGGGTTAATGGTTGGACTCGATGTTCCCAAGGGTCTTTTCCAACCTGAATTGTTCTATGATTCTATGATCCTCTCATCACAATTATATATAAATATATATGCACATACACTATCCTTCTTAGCAATGAAAATTTCCATTGCTAGGAGCCCCCAAATTGTCCTGTGGTGATGATTATGTTGAAATACACACACGCAAATAAATAAATCTTATTCTCAAAGGACAAAAAGCCCAGGATTTTCTCTTTTTTTTTTTTCCAGACTATTATGTCTGAGAAATCATTATGATTTCCTGAATTATTGCTGCATGGATCAGCATTACAGCAGTCTTTGCACATCTCGGTCTCACTGCCCAAGAATGTAACAGCACTTAATGTGACTTAGCTATTTTTTTTTGGTGACTGAGAAATGCTAAGCAATTGGGAAGGAGCAGTAAATACACGCTGCTGGTACAGAGAGTAGCCTTCCGAAAAGGATTTCAGGGTTGAATCCTGTCTCTGTTTACACTGTGTAAATCAGGTGTAACTCCAGTAAAGCTGATAGAGGTAGCCTGGTGTCAAACCCACGCGGATAAAAGGATCAGGCCCCCTAAGCTTTAAAGTTATGAGTCTTTTCAAACTGCAGATCTACTGTCAACATTTCAGTGATTACTTCTCTTTTTTTTTTTCCCAACACACAAACATAAAATAGTAACAAGATTATCAGATTAAAGAGCCAAAGAACAGCCAGTTTATTATACTGCTGCGTCTAAAACACTCAGATCTTATAGGTTTCCTTCTTACTCCACATCCTGAAGGGGCAGATTGGTATGTTTGTTTTTATTTGGGTTTATTTCTTTTTAATGGCAGCCTAGCATAGCTATGTAGGAAAAAACCCCAGCCATAATATTATGAATTGCAGTGTGCAGTCTGCAAGAAAAAACGACTCCCAGACCCCCAAACCAACCCTTCTGAACATTTCAACTTAAAAAAATAAAAATATCTTTGCTTTCTTTCTGTCAGTCCCCACGAGGAAGAAATGACAGGACAAACGGAGTGAAAAGGACAGAGCTGTTTAAAGCTAAAAATGTGCAAATGCTGCATTCCTTCCGGGAGAGGGAAAAAAACCCACGACCCACCACCTCTGCATCAGTATAAATTATTTAAATCAGGGATGGTTTGTGTTAAGGGTCTCGAACAGATTGCATAACTGTTGCACAACTAATGTGTACAAGTGTGTCACTAATTTAATTTTAATTTTACTGTATGAGTTTGTATAAGATCCCCCAGCTGTCATGTGCTCATCATCTGTCACAGAACTATCACTAAGCCATGCTGGGCTAAGACAGGATTATAAACGATGAACTGCCATGTGCTCTAAATCTTCTTATTTGCCTAGCCTGGAAGGTATGCCCTGTAAAATTTGATTGGCAGAGTGCTCTATTCTGTCAATTGACTTTGAAGGCCTTTTCTATTGGCGCTTTGAGGGGATCTCAGTAGCTGTATTGACTGTCACCTGCTGACTCCAGCACGTGCCTGACCTCAGCCCTGCGCCGAGGCTCCTTCCCACCCCTCGCCGTGGCGCGGGGCCGGCTCGCTCTGGTGGCACGTGCGGCGGCGAAGGGCATATGGCTGCCTAGTTGTGTGCAGAATAGAATAACTGAAGCCAAGCAGCCCCGCGCTGTTATTACGGCAGATGGGGGAAGCGTGGCATTCAATATTAAGACAGATGCCACCTCCTTATTCCACCTGTCTGGAACTTGGACATGGGACAGAATGAACTGTCTGCCTAATAATTAAGGAGACAAAGAGCGCATTTATGAAGCTCGGCAGAGCACCGTATCTGCGGAGCACGCACAGATATAATTGTCGGCTACAACAATAAGGAAATGTCGACTACTGCTCATCAGATGTTCAGATACGTACACACAATTACAGTAGGAAACTGTACTGTTCCCAGCTGCTTTTGTGGTCTTTTATTTAGGCTGGTTGTGTATTAAATTAAACGGGAGGAACAAGTTGCCTGGCATTATTACTATTATAAATAACGCTTTAAAATTACAGTGAAGTTCCTTAAATAACAAAGCACCTACCATTCCTCCTAACAGTCACTGCCGCTATTGTGCTGTGCCCTTTCTTGCAAATTTGCTCTTTGCTTCTCAGTAGTCAACTGTTTTTGTAACAGCCAGAGAGAAGAAAAACATTCTTTCCAGGACCACTATTATTTTCACGTATTTTTACACAACAATTTGCCTGTTTCTTTGGCGTTGTTAAAAAAAATGATAACTGTGTAAAAAAGAAGGCCTGGCTCCTTGGCATTTATGCTATGTTACGTTTCTGTTATTTAATCCTACTTAATTTGGGACCAATTACAGTTGAACCCGCCGTGCTTTGTGACGGGCTGTGACTGTGCTGGAGAGGGCTCCATCCTTCCCGACTCGGAGCCTGGGCTTGCCGGGCTGGCAGCAGGGCTGGGCTGGTGGCCACGGTCACGCTGCATGGGTCGCACCAGGCTCTTGCACAGCAAAATGTGCCTCCAGGACTCCTCTGTGGAGGCTGAGGCTGAGGTCTGCAGGTATTGCAGAGGCTCAGCAGTAGCTACGTTTTGGTCGGGCTTGGGTCTCAGCCCTCCTGAACATCGAGCATCGGGCTCCCCGAGGTACGCACCCTATTTTTGGGGTGCAAGGTAATCTTCAAACCCAGCGATGCTGCTGATGGCGCCAGCCTCCCCTTTACGTATCCGCCACCCCTGCAGGAGTTCGGTGGAACGAGGTGTTTGGATATAAAATTGAGCAGGTGTGGGTGTGCTGGCTGGGCAAAGACGTTTCTCTGTAGAAGCAATTTGCAATTATTGAGAACCTAATGTGATCCAGGAGGTATTTTTAGTATCTACTTACCTACCTCCAACCCTCTTTTAAATGGCCTGTGCTGATGTGATCACGCCCATCCTTAAATCTTTCTAATTAATTTTATTCTCTTTCGAATGAATGAATTCAAAGGCAGCTTAAAAAAAATCATCTGCGTGTCTGTCCTAGGATTTATCTGTAGATGGCAACTGGAATAAAGATGAATAAGTTGCAGAAAATGAAAATGAAGGAGCAAATGTTAAGGGCGTGTGTACCGTGTATACATGATATACAAGACTAAGGACACACAGAGTGCCTATTGTCTCAACAAGCCATGAAAGTGGACTTTTATGTTTACATCCATATATTTGTGTATACACATTGGCATATATATGTAATCTCTCTAAAAAAAAAAACACCTGAATTTTTAGAGGTAAAAGACTCACATGTAACAAAACAAGAAACACTCGAACTTCACATTTATGTGCATATATAAATATATACTCATTTAGAAACAGACATTTAAATATTTACACTATAAGGTGATTAATTAAACATTGCAGATACATGTGTATTTAAATGTATACACAGACAGGCATGCTGAACCTACTGTAACTCTATAATAATACTCATAGACCATTTAATACTAATTTATAACATGTATTTAAAACAAGCTGCTCACCCTTGGCAAAAAAAACCCAACTACCAGATGCATTTGATTCTCCAAAGCACAGAAATCACATGCAACAAATCGCAAAAAGGAATCAAAGCCCAAACTTCTTCTTTTTTAGTAGAAAAGACAGCATTAAAAAAGACACAGATACATATTACAAGATGAGGATCAATTTGAAAAGATCCCACAATATCTGTTACCAAGAGCTTTGTTAATCTTTAAAAACCTAGAATGATTTTTTGTACGGAAGTTGTGAATTAACCAGGCTTTAATAAATAGCTCATGGGCACGTGTGTCAAGATTGTGCTTTTTGTTTTCATATGTGTGTGTATTTGGGGGGAAAAAAAAAAAGAAGAAAGGAAGCTATTATTTGTTAATTTTTTTCTGTAACAATTATTTCAAATTAAAAGCCCATCTGACGAAAGGCATATGGATGGAGAGGGGGTTCAGTCCTAATTGAACAGCCCAGGACTCGTGAGGTTAATTACAGATATTAACGCTGTTGTTCTTCAGCTTCTTGCCCTCACGAAGGCTCCAGCTTCCAAATGACCTGGCTCCAACAATAAGACTCTCTTTAGCCCATTAACTAATTGATAAAAATGTGAGTGTTTAGAATGAGTCTAATTAAATCACCGAGCCTTACAATTACGAGTCCATTTGGTAGCTGTCGG